CTTCAAGGGTAGCCCCACGTAGAGCGCATTACAGAAGTCAAGTTGGGAAGTCACCAACACGTGTGTCACTGTCGCCAGGCAGTCGTACTCCAGGTAGGGGCGCAGCTGATGGATCAGCTGAAGCTGAAAGAAAGCTCTCCTCGCCACCACTGTCACCTGAGCTTCCAGTGAAAGCTCTGGGTCGAGGAGCACTCCCAAGCTGCGAACCTTGTCCCTAAGAGGGAGTGCAACCCCATTCAGGACTAGGTTCAATTCACCCTCCCCGAAGCCCGATCCGCCAACCAAAAGGACCTCCGTCTTGTCTGGATTGAGCTTCAGTTTATTGGCCCTCATCCAGCCCATTACCTCGGCCAGGCACCGGTTCAGCACAGCCAATGCCTCACCTGGATTGGTGGAAAACAAGAGGTAGAGCTGGGTATCATCAGCGTATTGATGATTTCGCAGCCCACACCTCCTGATGACCTCTCCCAGCGGTTTCATGTAGACGTTAAACAGCAAAGGGGACAAAATGGACCCCTGCGGTACTCCATGGCATAGCTGCCATGGCGCAGAGCCATAGTCCCCCAGCACCACCTTCTGGAATCGGCCATTGAGATAGGAGCGGAACCACTGCAAAGCAGTGCCTCCGACCCCCAATCCCGCTAGCCTATCCAGAAGGATACCATGGTCGATGGTATCAAAAGCCGCTGAGAGGTCCAGAAGAACCAACAGGGACGCACTCCCCCTGTCCTTCTCCCTGCACAGGTCATCGTACAGGGTGACCAAGGCAGATTCAGTACCGTACCCGGGTCTTGTCCCACCACCACCCACTCCAACACCTTGCCCAGAAACAGGATGTTGGCCACTGGTCTATAATTAGTGGTCATCTCTGGATCCAGTGACGCCTTCTTCAGGACCGGTCGGACTACCGCCTCCTTTAAAGGGGCAGGTACCCGACCCTCCCTCAGAGAAGCGTTAACCACTTCCAAGATCCAGATCCCAATCCCGTGCTTGGCATTGTGTATTAACCAAGATGGGCAAGGGTCCAATAGGCAAGTGGTGGGACGTACTCGCCCAAGCACCTTGTCCACATCATCAGGCCGCAATAACTGAAATTCATCTATTCATTTTGCACCAGACGGCGATATTGGTATCTCCCCAGAAGCTTCTGAATCACTAGTAGAGTCTAGCTCATGACAAATCTGAGCGATTTTCTCCCTGAAATGCTTGGCAAAGTCATCACAGTGGGCCTTCGAGGGTGGAACCAGATCTTTCTTAGGGCCAGGACGGACCAGGCCTTGTACCACTCAAAAAATCTCCGTCGGACGGCATTTTAAGGAGGCAATGGAAACGGAAAAGAATTTTTTTTTTCGCCACCCTCACCACCACAGCATAGGCCCGATAATGGGCTCTTAAGTGTGTTCGGTCAGATTCATCCCGTGATCTCCTTCACCTACGCTCTAGCCGTCTCCCAGCCTGCTTCATTGACCACAATTCAGGTGCATACCAAGGGGAAGAGTGGGCTCTGCCTGGTGGGAGAGGACACTTAGGAGCGATCGTGTCAACAGCCCTAGTCATCTCCCTGTTCCATAGTTCGACCAGAGCCTCGACAGGAGCACCAGTTTTGTCAGCCGGAAACTCTCCCAGGGCCTTCAGGAATCCGTCCGGATCCATCCGGCTCCGTAGGCAGACCCACACAATCGGGTCCGCACCCTTACAGAGGGAGACGCCGCTCTCAAGCACAAACCTCACGAGGAAGTGATCTGACCATGACAGGGGTGTCAGACATAAATTCCTCACCCTCAGACCACCCTCTTCCTGCCTTTTGAGAAAACCAGGTCCAGAGTGTGTCCACGTTCATGGGTCGGGCCTGTGACATGTTGAGACAGCCCCAAGTCCTGAGCTGCCCCGGTCAGACCAGTCTCGGCATGGAGATTGAAGTCCCCCAGGATCAACATCCTGGGGGTCCTCAATACCAGGTCCGAGACGATCTCCGTCAGCTCAGGCAGGGAGACTGTTAGGCAGAAGGGTGCACATTACACCAATAGAATCCCCAGTCTGTCTCGATCGCCCAACACCAAGTAGAGGCACTCCAGCCCTGGTCTCGAAGGGACTGGAAGACCCGTGAGGGAGATAGAGGCTCGGTAAACCAAAGCGACCCCCCTCCCCTCCCCTCCAGGCGGTGCTGAACCAGATACGCAGGCAGGCACATTTGAGAGAGGGTGACATCCCCGCCCTCTCCCGCCCAGGTCTCCGTTATGCAAGCCAGGTCGGCCCCCTCATCCACAATCAAGTCATGGATGAGGGAAGATTTATTGTGGACCGACCTGGCATTAAGCAGCAGCACCGTCAGGCCCGAGGGGCGGTTGACAAGACTACCTGGAACCCTCTGGCTGGGGGCAGAACCAGAAGGAGGGACGGGTGTCAGCCATCTATCCCTCCTTCTTCTACGCGGACACATTAAGCCCCCACTGCTGTAACGTCCATTGCCCATGACCACCCCAATGGCGGCATCCACACACTCCCCAGGAAACTCAACTGTCAACATGGCCAGGGACGACTCCATAAAAACAAATTAAAATACAATAAAACTTTAAAACAGTAAAAAAGAACTCCCCATCTACCCCCCCGATACAAAATTCAAACTTCCACCCACCGACCTAGCCCCCCGCCAGCCCAGCCCCGCACAGCCACGAACGGCCACAAACGGCGGCGTCCAGCGAGTTAAGCCGGTGCCCGCCTGCGCGCCCCACCCCAATCCGGCATTGCTCTCACCGACGCCGGTGGGGGGGGGGAAGCAGAGAGGGGCACAGAAACCCGCCTGGCGGCAAGATGGTGGCGCCTCTTCCGCACCATCAATGGCGGCCCTGGCATGGCCCTGGCATCCTCCATGCCCGGGGTGGCCCAGCGGTGGCCGCGGGAGCGGCGTCAGCTGGCCCCGGGCTCGGCGGTGCGCCTCAGGTCCGGCAGCAGCGGTGGCGGTGCGGCAGGTGTTCTGGGGAGGGAGGGGGAGGGAGCTCCAAACCAGCTCCAAACCAATATAAATATGGATGTATTTTTCACTACATTGAAAGAGAATAATAAAGCTAATAAAGTATGTTATTTATTTCTTCCAAGAGCCCAAGCAAGGCACATGGTTCCAAACAATCTTGTATGGTTCATTAGGCTGAAAGAGAGGAAACCACCTAGCAAACATCATGACTGGGTGGCATTTGAGCCCACGTCTCATTATAAAAGATATCCATGATCAGATCTCCTAATGTTTTAAATTTCTTTTACTTAAAAGCAATCATGGAAAGCACCAGCCAGATAGTGAAGATGAAACTCAAATACTTTGGCCACCTAATGAAAAGGAAGAACTCCCTGGAGAAGAGCCTAATGCTGGGAACAACAGATGGCAAAAGAAGAAGGGGACGGCAGAGAATGAGGTGGCTAGATGGAGTCACTGAAGCAGTTGGTGTGAGCTTAAGTGGACTCCGGGGGATGGTGGAGGACAGGAAGGCCTGGAGGAATGTTGTCCATGGGGTTGCGATGTGTTGGACATGACTTTGCGACTAACAACAACAACAAAAGTAACGTTGGAAAAGAAAATTCTTTCACCAATGGCATTTTCGCTTTACACCTCTTCCATGCTGCTCTTAGCCACCACACTGGGGCAATTGATAGCCATGATACAGGCAAAAAGTAGCTTGGTGGGAGCAATTCAGATAGGGAAAATGCAAGAAATAAAACCCTTCTTTCCAGCACTCTTCATTCAAAGCCTTCTTCATTTGCTTTCATGTAAAAAAGCTGCCAAATAAATGACCAAATATGCCAAGAGAACTCACCACAGATCTCCCACATGATCAAACTGTTTGGCCTTAAGTCCAATAGTCTAGCTCAGGAATGTGTAAGACTTGTGGCTGTCCAGAAGTTTTGACCTATAGTTTCCATCAACCATAGTTAAAAATTAGGCGTGGGATGGGAGTTGTAAACAAAAATATTTGGTGGGCCACAAATTGTCTGTCAGTGTACTAGTGGCTATACCATTGAAGCCAAAATGAAGAAGCTATTCTTATTTTCAAATTGTTGCTTGTTAGATAGAACTCTGGGTCTTCTCCTTCATACCTTTTATTTATATGATATACAACATTAGTCATATATGCATTTTTTTCAGCAGTATACTTCTTTGGAAATATGTACTGGACTGCATTACAATGCAATTCCATATATGTCTTAGTTCAATGAGGCTTAATCCTAGGAAAATGTGTACAGGATTGCAGTCTAAATGTCTCCCCACCCCAAAGAGCAAAATGTTACCTCACTGTATATTCTCAGAAGTGTAGAAAAGAAGCTGGTTAGAACTAAAATGTAGGAAATAGCTGTGTTAGGTTTCTATGTGCGTATTCAGCTTTTATAATACATATCCATTCTGCACAATAGTGAAACATTCTGAATAGTTCACAAAAACCTAACCCTTGAACCAGGGGTTTAAAAATGGAGCAGATGTGCACAGATACGATCAGCGCATAGGGCAGCAGAGCTAACGGTAGCTTCGGAGATATTGCATATGGCAAGCAACGCAACAAAAAGTTACGGTGTCCTTCAGGCAGCTGAGAAAACAGCGCGTTATTTTCCATCAAAAAAACAAACATGCTACTTGCGTAAAGCCCCGATCTGTCTACTGTCACTTAGAAGTAAGCTCCATGAAGCTGAATGGGGCTAACTCGCAAAGGAAGTGCTTCGCTCCTTTTCGGGGCATCCCATGACTTCCCGTTTCTGCCCCACCCCGGGCTTTCCACGCCAGCGAAAGCATGCAGGAGCCCCTTTATTTACCCAAGGAACACGCTGAGAGCAAATGAGGCGCCCCCTACACACGCGCGCAAACACCCCGCATCGCAGACCCGCTTCCCCGGCCCCTTGGGAGCAGCTGCTTCCGACAGCTGACTTCGCCGCTTCCTCCGCGGAAAGGGGGCGGGATTCACCCTAGAAGCGGGAGGCGGAGTGAGCTCTGGATCTGAGGCCGCCCGCCGAAGGCTTACCTGGGGAATCTCTCTTTTAGCTTCCTCAGGCTCTGCCTGGTCGGAGGCGCCTGAGCCAGGAACTGGGTGATCTCCTCGTACTGGGCTTTCGTCAGCTTCATGCTTCCCGCTCAGCCCGGTAGTGGCGGGGAGAGGCGAGAAGAAAGCGCGGGGGAGAGCGTGGTAGAAGCCGCGAGCGAGCGGCTCTTGCAGCAAGGAGGGGGCAAGGGCTTGTCCGTCCTTGGGTCCTCTGGCTCTGTCCCGTCTCCCCGGCACGGAGAACGGGGGTAGGCGGACTGCGAAAAGCCCCTGCCCCGACCCCTCTGCTTCGCGCTCACAGGCGGGGGAAGTCAGCGGCTCATGCGCTGCTCGGGCAGCTCCGCCCTCCCTGCGGCTGGCGCGCGAAAGGGGAACTCGGCACCTTCCCCGGGCCCTGCGGCGCGCGGCGGCGTTGGCGGGAAGCTCCGGGCGGGATAAAGCGCGCAGAGCGGCCGCCGCTGCTTGCTACTGGCTCGCTGCATTCAAAAATGAAAGCGACTTCTTGCAGATGCTTGATTTCGTATTTCAGAGTTGCGTTTATTTATCCGTTATTTGTACTAGAAAAGCGGAACGAAGGAACGGTTTCTGGCTCCACAAGCAGAACAGACAGCCCTGCCTTTGAGAATTATTATTAGTATGGGGGCGCGGGAGGAAAGCCGGCTCTTTTCGGTCTTATACATGCAAAACAGGGTTTTGGCATGGACGGTCGTCGTGAGGAACCCAAAAGCAGCCATTAGCATTCGGGTGGCCGTGTGAACGAATGTTCTCCAAAATGTCCTGTCCTGTTTTGTAAACTCAGGGCTGTGGCTTCCTTTATGGAAATCTCATCGTTGGTCTGCCTTCCACTTTCCCTAGAAAGTGTCATTCTCCAGTGAAGTAACTAGAGGTGATTATATTGAATTGGGCCAGTTCAGACGTCACCAAGATGCTAACCAGGTTTTTGGACATTTTAGTGATCCTTAAAATGGCACTGACCAACTATTTTAATCATATACATTCACTTGAGAATGAGAATCTGTAAGATCTATGGGATCTTAGCTGGAATTTCAGGCTCAGAATTGCTAGCTTTAAATCCCTGAACATGGAGCTTCCAAGTCTGTTAAGGTGATTGTTTTGAGGACCCAGTCCCTAAAGAAGTCAAAATTGGGATGTGAAAAGGCTGAGGCTGTATTGATAGATCCAGATACCTAACAGTATAATTTTATTTATTTTATCATTTATATACTGCTCCTAGTTCACGGAAAATTGCACAATACCTCATTCTGGTAGAACAGCAACTTTCAGGGCAGAACCAAAGCACTTTTGATAGCAAGAGGACTCTGGAGCTTTCCACCTATCCCGGTGCATTGCCAGTGAAAACTTGGCAGGACAAAATGAGGCCTACAATATTACTTTAGCAATGTTGTTAAATAATATAAATTTGTATCCTGGAATTCTATATTATGTTCTTATTGTATGTGCATTTTATTTTCTTTTTGCATTTTAGGGAAACCAGGTTATGGAGGGCATAGAACTGGAATTAAATGAATAAATAAGTTGTAAACCACCCAGAGATTTTTGGATATTGGAGAGTAAAGGAGTAAAATTAATACATTAAAATAGGAAAAAAGCAGCTAGATGGCAGCTTTTAGGAAGCTCCTAAAAGAAGCTTTATGTAGGGGCTGGTAGGTTTGGGAGAACAAAAAAAATCAATAATATTTCTTCTGTGTTTGTAGCTTTCAGAGGTGCAGATACACAGCACCCTCAGGCCACAGCTCCAGGCACTCGGGCCACAGGATTTCCCTCTTGACATTGAGAGTGGGGGAATAGGATTATTCCTGATATTGGGAGTTAAAACCCCCAAGCCCCCATCTTGTTTCTGCATAGCAGGCATGGAAAGAACCATATGGTCTTCCTTTGAGCTTGCCATTCTGCCTCAGATATTTATTTATTTAGACAGCTTATATGCCGCCCCCTTCACATAAGGAAAAAAGGGCCTAACTGGGAAGAGAAGAAGCTGGGCCAATATAAAACAGTGCCACAATGCCACTCCATTCCCATCCACATCTATATAGTAAATGCAGGATACAAGGTGCAGACACAAAGAAGGTTATTACCAATGCACCATGGATCAAGGGCAGAGCTGATAGGATTACACCCTTAGTTAATGTTTAGGAAAATAAGATTTTAGTAATAGTTGATACTGCTTGATCATTAGTGCCTGACTTTGGAGCTCATTCCAAAGAGAAGGCCTATCAGCCAGATGGTATTCTGCAGGATGTTGCACAGATAGCAAGGTCTTCCACAGGGTCTGTATAAGGGGCTGAGGTTTTAATTGTTTATGGTTTTAATAATGGATAATACCGTGAACCTGGTTGTTAGCCATACTATGACTACAATAATTAAACACATTGGAGCCTACTTTTATTTGTCGAAATGTATTTTGTTCTGTTCAAAGGATTTTCAAGGCAGCTAAAAAACAGGAATACCAAAACATAAAAGTAGCTAATTTTATTGTAAATGTTTATTTTCTGCATCTCTAGCACTAACTTACTACTCAGGACAGCTTATTACAATTAAACACAATTACAAAATACTTGGAAAGGCAGTAATGAAGGAACTAGAAAAGATCGAGTGAGACTATGTTTCACTGGAGATGAAGGCCAACTTAATGCACTTTCTTGTATTCCCAATCACAGTATAAGGGTGGGAAAGCTGACATTAAGAAAGTGGATGCATTTAAGAACCTGGTGCTGGAAGAGAGCTTTGAGGATACCAGAGACTGACAGACAAACAAGTGGATCCTAGATCGAATGAAGCCACAATTTCCCTAGAAGCAAAAATGGCAAATCTGAAGCTGTAGAACTTGAGGCACATCATGAGAATGCAAGACTCACAGGAGAGGACAATAATGGTAGGGAATGTTGAAGGCAGAAAAAGAGGAAGACCAAATTTTAAAAGGATAAATTTGATAAAGGAAACAATAGCCTTGAATTTACATGAGCTAAGCAGGACAGCAGAGAATGAGGTAGCTGGATGGAGTCACTGAAGCAGTTGGCGTGAGCTTAAGTGGACTCCAGGGGATGGTGGAGGACAGGAAGGCCTGGAGGAATGTTGTCCATGGGGTCGCAATGGGTCAGACACGACTTGCAACAACAAGCAGGACTACCAAGGACATAACATTTTGGAAGACACTCATTTATAGGGTTGCTGCAAGTAAAAAACAACTCGAAGACACACAACCACCACCAAAATATAATTCAGAAATAGGTTCAGCAGATCGTAAAGAGGCCTGGATAGGAAATTATCGAGCTTTAAAACAAGCTTAATAGAATAAAAATGTTTACCTTTCAGTGGAACCAACAAAAGATGGGATGAATGAAGCCTTATACACAATAATTTAAGCACTACCACTGAGAAGGCTTTTTCATTTGTTCATATCAACCAGGCCTCAATCTAATCATTACATAAAGAAGAGGACATCCGCACATACACTATCTCTCAGGGCACAATAATGCTGGTATGAGGGGAGCTAATGCCTAAGGTATGCTGAACTCAAGCCATTTAGTTTAAAAGTAAACATCAAGCTTTTGAATTGTGCCCAGAAAGATTGGTAAGTAGTATAATGGCTGCAGAGTTGGTATGATACAATTTTGAGAGTTGAGTTGACATTCTGTGAGATGGATTGACTCCATAAAGGAAATCTCAGCCTTGAATTTACAAGAGCTGAGCAGGGCTGTCCTGGATACAACATTTTGAAGAGTTTTAAATCACAGAGTCATCATAAGTCAGAGATAACTGGATTGCCCATTACAGTAGCATCCTTACAGTCACATTCTCAACCAACTAAGGTTGCCCAAGATGTGAAGGCAAGACTCTATAGAGCTCAATGTGATGTTCTAATCTAGAAGGAACTTAGACATACTATTATGGTGGCCAGGTCTGAGGAATGGATGCAACAGTCTCTACTATCACTCCTAACTACAGGTGTCACTTGAGCATCCAGATGTAAAGCTTGAGTCCAGAACCAACCACAACACTGCAGAATTCACATCTCCTGACAAGGAGAAAATCTGTCCCATATGGATTAAATCCCAGGCACATATTCAGAGCCTCAGCAGCTTCACTGATATCAAAATGAAAAAGCAAATAGAACTGTGTAATCCACCTTTTGGTGGCAACACATAACATTCTGGACAACCTTTTCCAGTGGTTATAAATGCTGAACAGCAGAGGGGAAAGAATAGGTGTCATGACTTGTTTTGAAATGGATCCAGGTAATCTGTTCATCAAGGAACCTCTAGAGATGAAATGCCACCTTGCTAGAAATAGAAAAACTGAAGCTAAATGAATACTACCCATTATAGTTGAATCAAGAGAGTGTTCACATACACACAAAATTTGTCTTAAACTATTTTTCTGTCACACTTCAGGTAAGGAAAAGTGATTTGGGTAAAATCATAATTTCTGTTAAAAGTAACTGGGTGTAAATAATAGCTTTAATCCCAAGAACTTCATGTTGACTAGAGTGTGTTTTGGGTTATTAAGGCTTGTACTAAAGGCCAGATTAGCTGATAAGATTCATGTACTGTAGACTGGGGCACACTGTTGGGTAATTACTCCCCTCCCCCACCACCATTTGATGTTTCTAATTAAAATTGCCCCCAAATCTGTGAACCAAGGTGGTTGAATGCCAGCAAGACTGCAGCCACTTAGAAACTTCACAAATTTATCAGAATCCATGTGGGAATTCTGAAATTTGCAGAAGTACAACACTTTTTTTTAAGCTTCAGGAAGAAAAAGCAACAATCAACAAAATAAGCTAAGACATGATTAAGGGCCAATGAATGTTGAGTGTCGATGTGAAAAAAATCAATTGGAGTGGGTGATGAAAACAAGGGACAATGTTCGAGAAAGATTCGGCTGGCTGAATGGAACCCTATACGGGTGCTTCTGTTAGGAATGAGGATACAGTACAATATTTTATCCTTTGTGCTGTTTTTAATAACTAATACATGGGTGTTACATGTATACATACAAATAGATATTATACACATTTTTTCTCACTATGGTTATTCGAAAATACTGGGGCTTTTTGTTAGAAAAAGCAAAATGGCATTTTCAAATGTTATTTTAATTGTTCAAATGTTATTTTAATTGTTAATATTATTTATTTATTTTATTCTTTGGCCAGGGCGACTTAATTTATACTGTTAAATTATATTGTTTTATATTATTTATTATTGTGAGTCGCCCCGAGGCTTCGGCGAATGGGGCGGCATAGAAGTTCCCTATATAAATAAATAAGTCTAGAACAGGCTTA